TTTGTATGATCGACACTTTTTATAAATGTATCGACACTTTGTTCGTACACTTGGTTTGGAAATACATTGGACAACATGTATCGACACAAATGAATAAAGTGTCGACACATATTGTAGACCTATTTTCATAAAACCGGTAAATTTAAACCGATTACATTGTAAAGTGACCTATTACATTATAGTTACGGGTTTCGATGTTTTTGGGATCGACACTTGATAAATGTGTCGACACTTATTTGTGAACTTGTTTTGTTTGGAAAACATTATGGACACAAAGTATCGGTACAAATTTATAAAGTGTCGATACTTATGAATACCTCTTTTCTCATAAACCGTATATTTAGACCGATTACATTGTTATTTTACCTATTACATTAATTACGGATTTCGATGTTTTTGGGATCGATACTTTTTATAAATGTATCGACACTTTGTTCGTGCACTTGGTTTGGAAAATTCGACAACATGTATCGACACAAATGAATAAAGTCGACACATATTGTAGACTATTTTCTCATAAAACCGGTAAATTTAAACTGGTTACATTGTAAAGTGACCTATTACATTATAGTTACGGGTTTCGATGTTTTTAGGATCGACACTTGATATAAATGTGTCGACACTTATTTGAACTTGTTTGTTTGGAAAACACATTATGGACACTTTGCCTTTGTTTTGTACCCCAAGACGTCTGCAGCAGTCGATACCCCCAGAGGGAATGAATAATCGCCATATTTAGCAATACATTTTGACATCAAATTGCTCCATCAAGGATTGACACAATCCTCCGAATTGGTCGATCCTTTACTCCTATCAATGATCCAAACCCATTTCACTCAGCACATTCAACTGATCATTCTTTTAAGGTGTTCAATTAATGAATACACCCTTTTTATGCTGCACCTTGTCGACACATCCTACATTTTAAAAATATATGTTATTGTTCTTATATATCTTGTATCAACGTATTTACAAGTTAATGAATACCTTCTTTTCATGTGCTTTCCTCCGTTCTTTGTATTCTTTACTATCATTCCTTGACAGTGTGATGTAAGGTTCCTTTTGAGCATCACTCATCGAATTCCATTTCGACCTCATATCTTTTTTCACCTAATATTAAGCATAAACGTTTCTAATAATACATTAACGCTAAATAATACTCAATGTAAATTTCATTTACATACGAACCGATGTGTGTGCCTTCCTTCATCCTTTTGCATTCGTCCATACTGTCAACATTTAAAATTTGTAATCAATTTAAAGTTCCTAAATACTTTAATCCAATTACCATTTCAACAATAATAACAAAAGGAAATTAATACTTACTAGAAGTACATATCCACCCTTTGGTTGCTTTCCACCATTGACTTCATTTTTCCTTATATATCAGTTTACGCAAATCAAATCAAATACTTGTATACAAAAATCGATAACACTCTTGTGGTAAACGGTTGGTCTTCAATAGAATTGAATGACCACTACAACAAGTGTCGACACATTTATACAAACCTCAAATATTTTCTACCTATAATATTATATACAGGTATCCATATTTATTTTCTACCTATAATATATATAATCGGTCCCAAAACTCGCTATTTCCTTCAAACGATGAGAACACTCAATACTCAAAGTATCGGCACATTTATACAACCTATAATATCATTTCTACTATAATATAAATAAAAGTATCGAATAGAATTTGAATGGCCACTACAACAAGTGTCGACACATTTATACAAACCTCAAATATTTTTCTACCTATATATTATATACAGGTATCCATATTTATTTTCTACCTATAATATTATATAATAATCGGTCCCAAACTCGCTATTTCCTTCAAACGAATGAGAACACTCAATACTCAAAGTATCGGCACATTTATACAACCTATAATATCATTTTCTACCTATAATATTAAATAAAAGTATCGATATTTATCATCTACCTAGAAGATCACTTTCTACATGTAATCGGTACCAAATGCTTCTTTACTTCGAAATCTCCAAACAACAACACATAAAAACCCTAATTACTGTAAATAAAAAACTAGGGTTTCAACAACGTACCTTTCGATTGAAATGCAGCAACAAATAAAACAAACTTCAACGTAGAAAAGCCTTCTGAAATGCAGCAACAATTACACTTCGATTTCAAAAACTCTATATATTTTCAGAGGAAATTTAGCTATGCCTTTATATTTACATCGGATATGTTATTTATATTTAATCGATACAATTACATAAGTGTCGATACTTTTATGTGAAGTGTCGATACTTTCGAGAGGATATTTACCTATTTCTCTTAAAGTGTCGATACTGTTTACGCGTACTTATTAAAGTACGACCTTTCAACATAACCGGTAGCACTTTACCGATTTTATCATTTCGATACCGGTTTTATCATAATTTTACCATTATATTGTTATGGATCGATACATTTTCTTAAAGTATCGACACTTTTTAGATGCTATAATTTCTTCTCTTTTAAATTACGAAAGTGTCGATACTTATATTAATTTATCGACACTTTCAATATATCCGGTATCTTTTTACCGGTTTTATCATTTCGAGACCTCTTTTGTCATATTATTACCGGATATATTACTATGGATCGATACATTTGTATAAAGTATCGACACTTTTCAGGTGCTATAACTTCTTCTCTTTTAAATTACAAAAGTGTCGATACTTATATTAATTTATCGACACTTTCAATATATCTGGTAGCTTTTTACCGGTTTTATCATTTCGAGACCTGTTTTGTCATATTATTACCTGTTATATTGCTATGGATCGACATATTTTTATAAAGTATCAACACCTTTTAGGCTCTATAACTTCTTCTCTTTTAAATTATAAAAGTGTCGACACTTATATTAATTTATCGATACTTTCAATATATCTGGTAGCGCTTTACCGGTTTTATCATAATGTCACCGGTTTTATCATATTTTTACCTGTTATATTGCTATGGATCGATACATTTTTAATTTGTATCGACACAAACCGACAAGCTAAGTTTGTCGGTTGCCAAATTTTTTAATATTTTCTTCATGATTTCCACCTACAACATTGTTATTACTCGATATTTCAGGTAGCGCTAAACCGAATTTGTTAAATATATTATAATATATCCGGTAACGCCATATATTAGCCGTATATTAGCCCGTCTTTCCTGAGACAATCCCACTCCACCAAAGCTGCCTCAGACCTTGTGGATTCTAATAAAATGCCTCCTATTTCTTTCTTTCCATAACAAAGCAATGCAAGATAATTAATATATTATTATCAATAATTTTAAATATTGAAAAAGTTAAATATAAGATCAAAATTTAATAAATTGATTTATATAAAAAATAAAAAAATATCGATATTTGTGAAAAAAAATATTCATACTTTCAAATTAAAAAAAAACATAAAAAATAATATTTTAATTTTAAATTTAAAAGTATCGATACTTTTGGAGAAGTATACATACTTTGCAACCTTCTCATTTTTTTTATGTTTTTCTTTAAATTCGAAAGTATCGATATTTTTTGGAAAGTATCGATACTTTTGCAACCTTATCATTTTTCATGTTTTTTTATTAGAAACTGTCAATACTTGTGAAAAAAGTATTTATACTTTCGAATTCAAAAAAATGAAAAATGATATTTTAACTTTTAAATTTAAGAGTATCGATATTTTTAGAAAAATATCGATACTTTTAGAAAAGTATAGATACTTTGCAGCATTTTCATTTTCCATTTTTTTAATTCGAAAGTATCAATACTTATGGAAAAGTATCCATATTTTTGAATTTTTTATAATAAAAATATTGACATTTCATATTGCAACATATTTCTTAGTGAACCATAACAATCTTGGGTAGAACTCATTTTATTAATAAAAATATTAACATTCCATATCACAATTTATTTCTTAGTGTATCATGACATTCTTGGGGTGCAATTGTATTTCTTATATATAATTATAACATTTTTAGTTTTAACCTATTTTCTTATCGTGGTAAAATCCAAGACTTCAACCCACTTTATTAATAAAAAATTAACATTCCATATCAACTATTTTTTAGTAAACCATGACATTATTGGGCGCAACTCATTTTATTAATAAAAATATTAACATTTCACGTCACAATCTATTTCTTAATGAATCATGATATTCTTGGGTGCAACTATATTTCTTATATATAATTATAACATTTTCAGCTTTAACTTATTTTTTTATCGTTGAAAAATCCAAGACTCCATCGGCTTAAAACTCTGATAACATTTTAGGTGCAACTCATTTTATAAATAAAAATATTAACATTCTATATCACAACATATTTCTTAGTTACTCATTTCTTAGTGAACCATGACATTTTTTGGCGCACCTATGTTATTAATAAAAATATTAATAATCCATATCACAACATATTTTTCAGTAAACTATAACATTTTTTTTGTGCAATCGTACTTTTTATATATATATTCATAATATTTTTAGTTTTTAAACTTATTTTCTTATCGTAGGAAAATTCAGAACTCTATCAGCTTAAACTTTAATAACATTTTAAACACCCATTTTATTTTTCTATTTTTAAGTGAATCATGATATTTTTTAGCACAATCTATTTTAGTAATAAATATATTAACATTCTAGATCACAACGTATATATATATATATATATATTTATAAAATTTTTAACTTTTAAATTTATTTTCTTATTGTAGGAAACTCTGATAACATTTAGACATAACTTAAAATATTAATAATATTCATAACATTTTATATATATTTTTCTTAAATGTTAGAGAATCATTCGAACGCAGTGCACTAACCTGCCAGTATCAGCAATTGATTGATGCATTCAGATCTTACAACAAAGAACAGCAAGGGAAATAACCGCGTGATTTCCCAGAAATCAAAGAGAAACTTTGCTTATGAATTTATGCACAGACAGATCTGACACAACGAAAGAATTCCCATAGCACATGATTTCAACGCATATAACACAATGGATCCAAGATCCATATACATTTCACCAATGTTAAAAGTACATAATAAAAACCCTATTCATCATTCAAAACAATAAAGAAAAACCATGAATTCCCCCTGTGGAGGTTTTATTCCCTAAAAAAAATTGCATGAAGCGATATTAGATCCTAGAGGCAAAGATTTAGGGAAGAACCATGGATCAGATTCAGACACGAGCGGCAACCACAGGGGCGGCTGCTGCGGCGGCATTGGAGGCAGCACCACCTAGAAATGACAAGAAACCGGTGGATACTTGTTCTTGTTCGTCCAAGAAGAGATCCTCTGGGGCCCTGAAGGCGCCGTGAGCACAGACTAGTCCAACTCCAACCATGAGAGCGGAAATGAGAAGAGATCCAACGGAGGTGAGGAAGACGACGAAGACGCTGAAGACGATGAGGATGCCGAGAGTCTCGCGGTCGGAGAAGGAACGGCCGAAGACGACGAGAGGCTGGTCGGCGGGACGGAAGAGGTAGAGGAAGATCCAGGAGGAGAGGAGTCCAAGGAGGAGGAGAAGGGAAAACGGATGGGAAAGAAGGGAAAAGGCGAGGATAAGACCAATCACCGACAGATAATTGACTCGGAAGTATGAGTAATTCTTGCGGACACGGACGATGGCATCGGAGAAAGATTCCGGCTTGGAGAAGGCGGAACGATCAGCGAGTTCAGCCCAGGGACGGCGTTGGGAAAGGCCGTTGCGGACGGAATCATTGAGATGTGATAGGAAAGAGAGGACTGCGGGGGTGGCGGCGGGTGGCTGGGATTCGATGGATTGCGCGGAGGAGATAGGGAGGACGGCGGGACCGGTGGTTGACATTGCAGTTGGTTGGAGAAGAGAATTTAGAATGTAGAGGAGATGTGCGGATTTAGATCTAGATCTGCGGTGCACAAAATAAATAAAGGATTTCGTTACGGATTCATCACCGTCGATAGAGCAAGGAAAGATTTCTAATCTCAATTTCAAGTATTAAATTATTTCGAGTAAAGGGATTTAACCTTTTAATAAAAGTTGTCGAATTATATCTTCATAAATTCACCAACTTCTTATGTCCATGCATATTTGTATGGCATGTTTAGATTCCATTATTCACATGAAATTGCATCATGTAAACGTAACATGAACAAATAATATACATGTCATGTAATATTATGGTTTATGATTTCTCTGACATATCCAAAATTAATTTTAAGATTGTACATGTATATTACACCACTTTGTTGTGCTAAAAAAATGTAATCTTGAAATGGATACATCAATAGAATAAATAATTAATCGAAGAAAATTTGAATTATATACATATATATGTATGCCTACCCTAACACACTACAGATCCACAACTGGTCAAATTGAATTGGTTTTAGATCGACTTGAACATTTTATCTCTCTACTCGTATATAGTTCAAAATTTGATTCGATTTTGAGATAAAATTCTCATGATCCAACACAAATATATATTTTAAGTAAAACAGTGACCTAATCAAAAAATAAAGGCTTAATACACTTTCAAGTGCCTAGATTATACCTCAAATTGATTTTTGATGTTTAAATAATTTTTCGTTAAAAATAGTACTAGCCGTTATACTTTTTGATTTTTTTTTTACTTTTTTAATAATAAAAATATTATTTTTTGAAAAAATTAAAGAAAAATCAAACCCCGTGTTCTCTCTCCCATTCCCCACCTCCAATGATGACGAAGGATCAATCACCAGTTGAATTTTATTCGAAGCATGACAAAGAACACAATGATGACGACCGTGTAACGTACGACCAACTATAGCCGCCAAAATTGTCAAAAAAACAATGACGAAAAACTTAAAAAACTAACAACTCTTCATGATGCTTCTCACAACAATCAATGCAATTTCTTAGTGGATGGGGGACTAAATTTTGATTGCGACAATAAAACGATTATGATGATGTCAACCGTAATGACCACAGACCGACATGGCTAATCAACAATGAAATTTAAGGGTTTTTTTTATTATAATACTAAAAAAAATTTATATACATAACACGTGTGAGATAACAATCAAATTTAACAACAATTACGATTCAAACACCTAAAAGTTATATCGTTGAAAACATTAGACACATTTTTATCAAAAATTTCTTTAGACATCAGGAGTCAATTTGAGGTATAGTTTATACACCTAAATGTGTATTAAGAAAAATAAAAAATAAAAAATATTATTACAATCATCTCTAAATACATAATAAGTAATTATACTATTTTCCTAGGTCGGATCAGGTCGAGTTTGAGATTTTTACCCTAAACTCAATTCGATCCCATTCTCAAAATAACTCAACTTGAGTCCATTTTTTTATATAAAAAAAATTAACTCTAAGACCAGATCGGTCGAACCCCATTAAATCTGAATCACATGTACATCCCTATGTAATTCAATGCCAATCACAACCAGACATTGTTATATTATGTGTTGTAATTTTAACTACCGCAGCAACATGACACTCCGACTAATGAGTTCAAAATGAAACCAGCATGCCTGCTTAATTTCCCCCACAGCGAATGGTGACGCCTCTCAGCCAGGACCAAATAGCCGGTGCATATTTACCCATTTACTTGGACCATTTATACAAACCCAAACTAACTTCAATGCAGCCCACATATCATGATCCAAGGAAAACACAGAGATAAACAACATAATTAGAGCATAAGATCATGGACTCACGAATAAGATAATGAGAGCAGTGCAAACAATATTGAAAAGAAAAAGGCTTATTTACATTATCTAGTGCTGATGTAAAGCATGAAAACACTGCATATTCTTGGTTTTGATGTGCCTAAACCATCAGGGAAATGCAATGAGAAGACAAAATCAAGGATAAGCTAACCAGTTACGCATTCGGTGGCTGTCGAATGAGAGATGCATCACCAAATTGAACCCCAAGAACCAAACATGCCAAAAAGAGAAGCTTACTATAAAACCCACGATGCTCTTTCAGTAGCAGTCACTTTCTTTTCCCTGCTGTATTATTTTATCGTCACATACCCATCCTCCAATGGCGTCTTCAAAACAAATTTACAGCGTCATCATACACAACCTGGAAAATGCTAAGCTTACTAATAATTGTTCAAAAAACAAACTTACACATTTCGGCATCTTTAAGTAATATAAAATCGTATAGCATCGCTGGATTCGTGACACAGTATTTGATTACATGCTGTTGCTGACCCATGTGTCATGAACCATGAGACTCATTCTGGTATAATACAGCAAAGCTGAGTGCTGAGATATACATGGTAAAAGGATGCGCAGAATTCTATACACTTGACAGAATGAGAATGCTGAAGAAAGAATACACCACCGAACACACCACATCCATATATTTCCTATTAACCAAGATGGAGAATTTAAGATATTGGAAGAAACGAATATTATGAACAAGTATCCAAACAGAAGCGCCATTGCCTGTGCCTTTTCAAGTGTCACTCCAACCATCATCATCATCATCTTCGTCTTCATCACTTCCAGCCAATGCCTATTTCAGCAGTATGTGATTTTATGAAATGCATGCATGCATGCTCATAAGAAGCCAGAAAAAAAAGGAAAGAAAGAAAGAAAAGTGACAGACAGAAAGACAAAGGCAAGCACAAACCTGGCGCATTGCATTGGCTTTCTCCAAAATTGCTGCTAGTCTTAAGTTGGTTTTAGGACCCTGAATGCTGGGTCGCCTAACCACAGCAGGCTTCAAGTTGAAGGACTAGAAAGAAATAACAACACTCAGACTATCTAGATGCAACTTCACCTTTAAAAACTTTTTTTTGCCTTTCTTTAAAAGAAAGGAACAAAATGAACGTTAACGGAGAATTGGATCTAACCTTGGTTCGTATCTGTTCCAGCAATGAGTCCCTTTCATCTACCTTTGGAATGACTGGAGGCTGCATCCGCTCGGTTACCTTCCTCAACTGCACCAAAATTGGAATTGTTACTTACAAAAAGAAAAAGGCCGATTGAAAAGGGAGGAAAGAAGAGCGAAATGAAAGGCTGTAACTACCTTGCTTTTGTCATGAGCAACAACAGCATCAATGAGAGGATTGCGAGGTCGTGGAAGCTTCACACTTGGAATCCCATTCGAATTTTCATCTTCAACTGGTGATACAGCAAGGATAATTGATGGCCGTATTGCTTCTCCCTCTGAAATTGAAATATCATTCTGCACAGTTGTATTTGATGACTGTGCAATTTCTACTTCTGCAGAAGCCAAACCATGCTTAACAATGGCATCTGGTATCTGCGATGATTCTCCCTCTGAAACTACCAAAGCTTGCTGATGCTGCTCCTCTACCTTGGTCGGAAACTGTACTACTTTTATAGGAAGATCATCCACTATCTGGGTTGATATCTGCTCCTCTCTCTTAATTGGTGGGGGCACAGAGATATCATGGAGATACCCCTGTTCTTCCCCAAAACTTTTCTCAGGGTGCTGATATGCCCCACCTTCCAAACCTATATCCAGTACAAATTGGTCTGGAGGTTGTGTTATGTTCTCATGCGAAGATACAGTAATATGTCTAGAAGTGGTATCAGTAGCTGGAATCAGCAGGGAGTAACTGGATTCTACCCTATCATCATCCATAGCAATGGAATCATATCCAATGCTTCTATTAGATATTATGGGCAAAGATGGGTTTGAGTGTTTTCCACCCAAACATATATCATTGAACTGGCTATTAATGTTGCTATCAATTGTTGGTGGGTGGATCGAATAAGGATCAGGGGGCTGCATGCACTCAGCGGCCAATTGACTAGATGCACAACCAGACAACTCTTCACCATCCACTACCGGTAAAAATGGATTTCCAGGCTGCTTATTTTCTTTCTCTAATGCAGATAAACCAAACTGACCTTTCCTGTCGGTTCCAATTTGTGATATAAAGGGGAATAACCCTTGACCCTGTTCGACCAATTCTCTTTGTGAAGCTGGAGAAACATGCTGAATTCTGCCTATCCTCCATTGCATTGGAGGAAGCGGGGGCAATGGTGGCATTTCCTCCATGCTAACTTTTGTTGCCTCAGGGAGTATGTCGTAGGCAGGGTGAATAGGAGCTGATGTGTATCTTTCTTGCTTATCTTGCCCTCCTGATAGTTGTAAATACTCTAAAGGTTTATTTGAAGAGCCTCCAGTGGAATGTGTAACATAAGTTTGTACCTTGCTGGACAAGAGATTTGAGATATTTGAATTATCTTCAACCATATGCAGGCTGCCCTTATAATGCTGATTTGTAGGGAAGTCTGAGGACTGCTTGAAAGAAGTTTCTTTTTCCGAAAAGTGATGAGTTGGTGAAGACACCAGATCTGCTCTACTTTCCATCAGTCGACTCAAATCCTTTGATTCTGACTCTTGATCGCTCAATTCTAAAGAAGCTGGTTTAGTGGTCAAATTAATGACATTCAAACTATTTTTGGTAAGCTCACCAAGAGACAAATAGTGAATATCTTCTAAATTGGAAGTGTTGCGAGAGACTGATTTGCATGAAGTTGAAACTATGTCTGCTGGATTTGTTTCTTGTGTCTCTAGCTCTACAAGACATCCTTGAGAAATAACCTCATTAGGTTTCAATTCTTCTAGACAGAGATCTGCATCACCGGAAAGAGACTCTTCCAAATACATTAAAGTTCCAGCTGCCGGACAAATTGAATTTGAAGTCTGAAAAGTAGTACCAACAGCACCATTGAAATCTGCAGAACCACAAGCAGCAGCAGCAGAGACTACAATATTTTCAGCATGAACATTTCCTGTAGCCAGATCATCTAAGCACACACCATCCTTGGTGTCCACACTATCAGAGCAATGAGATGGAAGATCACAAATGAGAGCATCTCCTTCCACTGCATCCACACTGCAGGTAAATTCCCTAGTTTCTTCTGCCTCTGAAGCATCAAACAGCTGATCAATATGTTGTTCCTTTTCATGAAATGAAGCCCCTACCTCCACTGGGTCAGCCACAAGTTCAGGATCATTGTGTAATATGTCTGAAAATTTCTGTTCACTAAAGCAACGAGACTCTAAATTATCCAGCATCGGAATCATACATTCCAAGTTCTGGCCAGCTTCTAAGGTATCATCATTGGCCTTGGAAGCCAAATTTCCACCCTTCATAATATCCGAACCTTCAGGTGGTATTGTAATACCTGAATCTCTTTCTACTTCTGCCAAGTTTGAACAAGGATGCTGCTCCTCCGTTGGTGAAGTAATGGGATACCATGAATCAATTATTTGGTTGACTGAACTTTCATCACAACTTTCTCTAGTACAATCTGTTTTAAGAACATCTAAAGGATCATTTCCACTTCTCTTTTCAGGAGCAAACTGTAAAGTGTTTGAAAAATATGGCAAAGCATCAGAAGAGATATTTGCATAACTGTTGTCCCGCTCATCCACTGGAAGGCTTTCGTCAGTAGAAAGAAGAATCAAAGAAATCTCCTGTTTCTCATAAGAACCAGCACCAGTGACTTCCGAAGAACCTGCCAAATATTTTCCATCATCACTGTCTGACAAATCAGGATCTGTTTTAACAACATTAGAGGGCACTTCATCAAGTTGCTTTTCCTGATATGAAGCTTCCATTGAGTTGGCTTGATTCAACATAACATGTGTGGAATTAAAATCTTCATGACATGAACTAGAAGATACTTCCCCATGATCAGGAGGCCCACATTCGTTCGGTGACAAAACCTTGTCAGAACTGGAACATTGCATCTCTGAATGTGCAGGAAGCAGAATGGATGATACCTCGACAACCTCTGGAACAAAGTTTTTAATAGAAGGGGACACTTCAGCTCCTACATCAACATCTGACACCATATCATCAGCCAGATTGTCCATGGTATCAGAGTAGGAAAAACTTGATCTTCCTTTCTTGAAGGAACTGTTTCCATCATCTGATTCAGAGGAGATTCCAACTAATTGAGAATCTGATGAACGAGCCTGGACATCAGGCTTTCCCTTAGTTACATCAGAACCTGTTTGGCATTTTACACCATTTACAGAGCCACTGTCAATATTAGATCTACTGTCATTGTCTGTATCCATTTCATAGTCCATGCTTGTAAGGGCATCCATGTAACTGTCAACCTCACCGGTCATATTGTCAGAATGATCCCCATCTGAACCAGAATCTTTTCTGCCTTCTCCATCTATGATTTTCTTTTGAACTGCATCTTTATGATGGGGAAGAGGGATTTTATCTGAGAAATTACCTGTTGGTTCAGGCACTTCCATAATCTCTCTGTCAATGACTTCTCCATTCAACTCTTCCATGGAAGGTTTCAGGACCAGCTCGGTAGGCGAAGAACTTGAGGTTTCCTTTCCTAGTGAAGAATTTTTCACGGGACTCACTGTATTAGTCTCATGTGTTTCAAGATCCAATTCACTAGAATGATCCAACGTCAGCCTCAGAGGTTGTAGAACACCAGTGGTCTTGTTAACAGCTTTATGCTCCGGGGAAGGAGTCTCCAAGAATTTCTCCATGTAGCTTTTCCCAGATTTTGGATCAAGTGAAGATTCATTCAGTTGTCTTCTTTTTAGTTTTACAAGACAGACAGGGTCATTGTCTGCATTCTCAATACGCTCCTCCAAAAACAGCTGATGCAATCTGCACAATCAGAAAGCAGCTCAATCCCAAGAAACCATATTAAAACATTAAACATGCATGCTTAATCAATAGAAGAAGCTATAAGGCACAGATGCAGAATTGAAAAGACTCACTTGGCATGTGATGCCATTGCAAATTGTGGTGTTGCTTCATTCCTCCAGCGTGATCCTTTTTTCTGCAAGAAATACAATATAAGAAACTGTATGGGCACACGCCAGTATTCCAATATAATGCACCCAGCCAAATATAAAAAGGATATTGAAAATTGATCACTAAAACAATGATGCACCAAAAAGTTGCCATGAGTTGTCAGCCCCTTTTACAAATAATTTCACTCAATTGATCAAAACAGGAAAACGAATGGAATAAAGATGAGAAGGAAGTTAATCAGCATTTGAATGAATATAATTTGTGGGGATCATCCCAAATACAAAAAAGTGCATCTCAAATGGAGTAGGGTGCGAGATATGAAGTGTACTGCTTGTTAGAATCAGCCGTGTAGAACTCTTGTTTGTTTAGGAGTATTTTATGATAAAAAAGGGATCAGTCTCAGGAATCTTAGGATAATTCCTTGTTGGGTGTTATTGCGTTTGTTCATGTTCATTCTCATCTTAAGGAAAAACTGCATCTGTGTGCTATAATAAATGCAAATTCATGGGATACTCGTCTACACAAAAAGGTTATAAATGCTATCACCCGCCTTCTAAAAAAATTATTAGTGCTAATGTTACTATTGTTGAAGGTGACTCCTTTTTTTTCAGCCTAATTATCTTCAGGGGAGACTTTGATTTTTTTTTTTATAGGAATTGAAGGCCTCATTAAAAACCTCCTTCTTGATTAGAGAGACTTATAGAGAAGCTCCTTAATCAGCGGAAGGAGGAAAAGAGTGCCTTAGGATTTCATTGAACAAAAGAACAGCAATATACATCCAGATATTAACCCCGTACATAAAACAAAACACCATAAAACAACCAAAAACACCCCCATAGCAGCAACAGTAGCTCAACCTAATCCAGCATATCAACCACAACAGCCCCTAAAGGACTGACCCAACTAAAAGCCTAACTCTAGACTCGGAGAGCACCAAAATAGAGACCAAAAATGACAGCTGACTCAAACCATAGTAACCAAAATAAAACACAAACATCCAGGAGCTTCCATCCACACGAAGAGGGCAGAAAACCAAACTATAGACTCTGGCTCCAAAGCTGGAAAAATAGAATCATAAACTGGCTCCCAGAACAGACAAAACTCCCTCACATTGAACCTCCTACTGTTGCTTGATTTGGCAGTATCAGGCCATTATTTGGGGACCTGAAACTTTCTCTACAAACCCCGATGTATCTCTGTCATCCAGCCTGTCAACTACCGCCCCAACCTATTGGGCATCCCCATCCTGATGGGCCTCCACACCCTTTGAACTACTAAAAGCACGCCTCTTGATAATGTTAATCACGTTCTTCATCACCTTTGCCTTTAACCGACCATCCAAGTTGGATGAATCAAAAAAATCCAATATATCTCTCTATCACGTGCAGACATATAGCTTTCGCTGTTTTCAAAAATTGACTCTCTAGCCCCTTGTTCCAGCACATTCTCGTGCTTCAAATATGAATACATCTCTCCTTGAACCTGATTATTTTTCCAAATCTACATCTTTACAGTTAACACTTGTTCCTAAGTATGTTACTAAGCTTGGTCTTAAGGAGTTTGTTAGTTGTTACTCCACCAAATAGGTCAGTTATGATGAAAGATATGGACAATCAAAGTAATATTCAATGGCAGGTTTATTCCAGGAAGAAGACACCAACTTCTCGATCCGTATAGGTACAATCTCCCATTCGTACTATTGCTTTCTCACCAAAAGTTGTTTCCAAGCAGATTCTCTTAAGCTCACTGAATCGAAATCACCTCCAAACAAAATGATGAGCCAGTTGAACCAGAAAATGAGAACTCAAACACCGAAGAAGACTTATCCATTGCACTTACGAAGGGAACAAGAACCTACACTGAACATCTAATATACCTTTCCATGTCCTACCAAAACTTATCTAAAACCATGAAACTTCTCTAACCAATCTCCATACAATACCTATACAAAAAAACCTAACTAAGGCATTAGGTAATGAGAGGTGGGCGAATGTTATAAAGGCAGAAATGGCATCCATTGAGAAGAACAGATTATGGGAAACAGTTGAACTACCAAGTGGGAAGAAACCGGTGGGATATAGACGGGTGTTCTCTATAAAATATGACAGATTCCAGTTTCCTAAATAAGGAATACTGGTTGTACTGACTAAGATGTTCGGTAAATATGTTAGTGATTGTAATCCCTAACTTTGAGGGATTTATTTTAGGTCAAATATTCCTAAAATCAGTCTCTTTCCTAATTTAGAGTTTCCTAACAGGCTTATGAAATATGAACTAGTGTAAAATTCCTATGAATGAATTAATCGAATCAGGTCACTTTTGACATGGTATCAGAGCTTTTTTAGCTCGATTCTAGGAGATTTTTCACTTGTTTTTTGGCAGCCCCTTCTCTTCCAATTCACCTTTGAACCGATAGAATCTGTTAAAAAGGACACAGTTGAAGGTATTGAAACCAACGACATTGGGATACTTCAGAAGTCTCGAGTAATGGAGGAAATCACTCAAATTCAACAATTGATTTGCAAAATATCTAGGCAGCCTACCGACTAAATGGGCAGAACTACCTGAAGTGATCTCAAATGGTTCGCACGTTCTTGAAGGGGAGAGGAAAATTGAGTCATCTACTCAAAAATGGACTTGAAGAAGGAAACCATAAGTTTAAGGCTTGGGATGAGCAGAATTCGTTGGTGATGTCTTGGCTGTGGAACTCTATGGTGCCCGAAATGAGATGGCAGGAAATGGATCATTATCAATGCATCCACATGAGATGTAGTGAAGATGCAATACTTTTAAAAGGTTGTTGAAAAGATCGAATTTATGATTTTTTTGCAGGACTAAATGTTGAGTTTGATGCAGTAAGAGTTCAAATACTTGAAAAGGAGGACCTATCATCACTAAATGAAACAATTGTTCGGGCTGAGGAAGGAAGAAGAGCAATTATATTGAGAATAGTCAGGTCTAAGGGTCAGCCTTGGTTACAAAGGCTGTAAATGGAAAAAGGTTTGGGGGCCTGGAACAATCAACCAATCAAGACAATAGACAAACCGAAATTCACAAGGCCACTCAACAAAGACTCTCTCTGGTGCACATATTGCAAAAAACCTCACTATACTAAGGAGAAATGCTGGAAACTCCATGGAAGGCCACAAACAACAAATAGAACTCTTTAGCTAAAAATGGGCAACCAAAGGAGCAAGGGCAAGCATATACAGCAAAACAACAGATTGGAGAGAGCAATTCTCAAGAATCACCTATTGAGTTAAATAGAGAGGAGATTGAGAAGCTAAAGAATCTGCTTGGATCACTGGAAAAACTGTCTTCAACAAGTACTTGCAATTTATCTTTTTCAGGTATATCCTCTTCTCAAACTTCTAAAGTCTCGAATACACCCACCAAAAGTTCTTAGATCATTGACTCAGGAGTCGCATACCATATGACCCACTACTCACAAAACTTTATCTCACATACACCTTGTCCTAGTAATAAAAAAATAATTGTTGCTTATGGTTCGGTAATTATAGTGGCTGGTCAAGGAGATGTTGCAAGTGAAATCCTCACCCTTAAACATGTCCTCCATGTTCCAAAGTTGTTTACCAATCTTCTATCTATCCATAAAATTACCAAATATTCTAACTGCAATGTGGTTTTTTACCCTACTCGATGTGTTTTTCATTAACATGGTACAAGGAGGATGATTGGACATGCTAAAGAAATAAAAGGGCTATACTATTTCGAAGAAATCAATGGGCAAAGTTAGTGTTCTGAAGTCCTCACCATTATCCTTCCTCTCCGAATTTGTTAAGACTAATAAAGAACGAATTTGCCTCTATCACCTTCCATTGGCCGTCTGTCTTTTAGAGTCCTTAAAATCATATTTCTTTTATTGTTCAAAGAGTTAAAAGTTGAAAACCTTCATTGTGATGTTTGTGAAACACAAACGTACTTTTCTAGCAAGCAATAAAAGAACTTCTCCTCCTTCTACTCTTATATGTAGTGATGTTTGGGGACCATCCTCTATTCCAAATATTTTTGGGGCTCAATGGTTTGTATCCTTTATTGATGATTGTACATGTGTGTCTTGGATATTCCTCCTAAAACAAAAATCTAATGTAAGTCTAACTTCCAAACTTTTTACAATATGATCAAAACCTAATTTGGTGTTGAAATTAAGAGGTTTCCGTCAGACAATGCCAAAGATTATTTCAATCAATTTCTCTTACCATAATTCCAAAAAAATGGCATCATACATGAATCATCGTGGGCTAGTACAACCTAACAAAACGGTGTACTTGAAAGAAAAAATGGACATATTTTAGCTATTACAAGGGCTTTATTATTCCAGAAAAATGTTCCTAAACAATATTGGGAGAGGCTATCCTAACTGCTACTCGTATGATAAATAGGCTGCCAACAAAAGTCCTTGAATCTCAAAGTCCTATGAAAGCTCTAACAATGTTCTTTCCTAATTTCAATACCTCAAATAACCTCACTCCCAAAATATTCGGTTGTGTGGCCTTTGTCCATATACATCCTCGAAACAGGGGGGAAACATGATCCACATGCAATCAAATGCGTCTTTCTCAGTTATCTTCCACCCAAAAAGTGTACAAATGTTACCATCCTCCCACAAAAAAAAAACACTTTGTATCTCCTGATGTTACTTTTGCAGAAGGAGAAAATTACTTTACCCGTCCTTATCTTCTGGGTGAGACCTCATTCACAGAAAATAAGGACAAAGATCTCTTCCTCCTTGATTTTTCAACACCTATCCAGCAGCCCCTCGTTACACACCAACAACCCCTTATTACACACTAGCCTGCCAACCAACTTAAGCTAGCCAAAGTTGAAACCATACAACCTGAGACAGAACCTTATACCCCAAAACACAAGAGATTCAGGATACCACTTGCCCTCTACTTGTTTATTTAAAAAGGAAGACACGGGTGCAGGTTCAATCATCCTCCTCTCCTATACAATTCGAGGTAATTACTACTGAACCTAATCCCAATAATTACAATACCACTGCCACTGAAAATCCTAATTTAAATGATTTTCCCATTGCAATTAGAAAAGGAACTAGAGGCTTTAAATGATGAGAATTGGAAAATGTCATGAAAGTTGAAATAGAAGCACTTGAGAAGAATAAGACATGGGACTTGGTGGAGCTACCAAAAGGAAATAAATCAATGAGATGTCGATGGGTGTTCACAGCCTGGTTTTTTAAAGGTGCAAGGCGTAGGCGCGCACCTTTCGTATTTGACGCGCACCGTTTGCGCTAAAAATTTTATAAATCAAGTCTGATACATATCCATACACATTACCCATCGATGTACTCCTAAATTACTTAATCTACTTCACACATTATGTTACTTCACTATTGTTTGTTTTTAAAACCTTAGTTTCCAAAATACATAAACACAAACTTAGAGTGACACTATAATAAATTAATAATTATATGTTTAAATATAAAGAATTTAACATATAAAATAATGTTAGTTATGTATTTTTATTTTTGAATTAAATTAATTATTTAATAATATGTGAATTTAATAATTAATTTTAAAATAAAATACTAGAGTTTTTTATTATTTTATTTAAAAATTTGTACAAATTTTGATTTAGTTAAAATTTTATATTGAATTTTCTCGTTATAAGTAATTAATTCTCATGATTTAATTTTTAAATTGATATAAGAATATGAATATATTAATAAAAAATTAGATGAAAATGTTAATTGTGTAAATGAATTTTTAAATATTATAATCATATAATATTTCAACTATAAAAGTTCATTATAATTATAAAAATAATTCTTAAATAATTATTCTTATATTTGTATATTTCTTATTTATAATATTAAATATTTTTATTTATAAAAAATTAATTATTAAAGAAAGCAGAAACAGAGAAGGGCAAAGCAAAAACCAAATATAAAAAGCAATAAGACTAATGAAAAGCATAAACCTGATATAAAAAATAAGAGTAAAGACTAATGAAATGTTTAATAAAGAAGGTATCCCTTTTCACGCTTGGAATTGGGATACTTTCAAAAACATCGCAACTAAGTGGGGCAAGTTAATAGCAATTGACAACAGTTGTGAGTTTCCATCGTCCTTTGATAGGGCTAAAATTCAAATACTCACAAATGATAAAGGGAGAATTGATGAGTTGTTAGAGTTGAAGGTCGGTGATAGTTCATTCAATGTCTTGGTGCATGAAGTTGATCCTTCCTTCAAACCTAATTCTTGGGTCCCTGAAGATTGCGATATTTCATTTGATCTTATTCCTCCTATTGGATTGTGATGTTTCGGCAGCAGTATTCAGAGGTGTTTTCTAGTTTGGGGTTGTAATTTTTGGTTTTTATTTGGCTATGTTATCTTATATCTTGAGGTGTTTTTTAGAGATAGGGTTTGTCTTAGGTCGTTTTGTTTGAAGATGTAATATTTCTAGGTTTTTGGTTTGTAATGGCATATATTCCCGTATGAGGGATCGGTGTTACTAATTGTACTTGGTTTACTATTTAATAAAATATGAGGTACTCTTTTCTCCTTCCAATGTTCTTCAACATACTCCTAAGTATGTGGAAGAATACGAAGGGAGTTTTTAATGAGACCTCCAACTTCTATAAAAAAAAAATAAAGAGTGGTGGGAATAAAAGAATAAAAAAAATGATGGGAATAGGATAAAACGGCAAGAGTCTATCCATTATATTATTTTATTATATTAGGTTGCTTTAGACTTTACTCTGTTGTAGCAACAAAGCAAAAACAAATAAAGCAAAAACCAAAGAATAGAAAAGCGGCAGAGGCGATGCGCTTTGGCACCTTCCTAAAAGCATAAAAAGCCTCTTTAGAGGCAACTTTTGTTGCACCCATGATCGCTTTGCGCCTTAGGCACGCTTTTTAAAACCAGGTTCACAGTGAAGTACAAATCAAATGGTTCTTTGGAGATATACAAAGCAAGGCTAGTTGCCAAAGGATATACTCAAATGTATGGAATAGACTACTTCGAAACGTTTCCCTATTGCAAAGATGAATGTGAGTGTTGTTGTCACTAGCTGCTAATCAAGGATGGAAATTGCAGCAATTTGACATCAAGAATGCCTTTTTACATGGTGAGCTTGAGGAGGAAGTCTACATGGATGTCCCACCAGGGTTCAGTCCAAATACAAGACAGGTGGTATGTAGGCTAAAGAAGGCTTTATATGGACTGAAACAAACCTCAATAGCTTGGTTTGGAAGGTTTACCAAGGCAATCCTCAAGTTGGGGTATAAATAGAGCCAAGGTGATCATACTCTATTTGTAAAACACTCGTCTTCAGGGGGAGTGATGGCCTTTTTAGTATATGAAGATGACATTATAGTGACAGGAGACGATTTGGAAGGAACAGAAGATTTGAAGAAATGCCTAGTAAAGGAATTTGAAGTCAAAGAACTTGGTAAGTTGAAATACTTCCTATGCATCGAAGTAGCACATTCTCGGGAAGAAATCTTCATATCTTAGCATAAATACATTGGTAACTTGTTGACAGAAACAGACAAGCTGAGATGTTAACCAACAAAGACTCCTCTAGAGGTCAACTACAGACTAGGAGATGCATTATGAGTAGTAGTTGTTGGTAAAAGTTCCTATCAGAGGCTAGTGGGAAAGCTCATATACTTGTTAGGGAATCTTATTTAAGAAAGGGGAAAAGCTAGGTCTTGAGGCCTATACTGATGAAAATTATCCAGGGTCTAAAGTTAACAAATGATCAACCTCGGGCTATTGTACATAGGGATGGGCATGGGACCCAAACCCGACGGGTTCCGAGCCGATCGGGTCGGGTTTTTTAAAAATTATTCGAGTTCGGGTCTGGTTGGGTTTTTTTAATATGATGTTCGGGTCGGGTTGATTTCGGGTTTAGGGTGAAAAATACCCGACCCGAAAAAATTATAATTTTACCTTATATATTTAGGAATAATTACAATAATACCCCTCTATATTTTACCCGAAAAAAAATATTTTTATTTTGGGTCGGGTCGGGTGAAATCATGTTTTGGTCGGATCGGGTCGGGTCTCGGGTGGAGGATTCCTTGATCTCGGGTCGGGTGGACCAAAAACCTGACCTAACCACCCATGCCCAACCCTAATTGTACATTCCTAGGGGCACCTTGTGACTTGGAGAAGTAAGAAACATAATGTTGTGATTAGATCCAGTGCAAAAACTGAATTTAAGGCAATGGCACTTGGAATTTGTGAGTTGTTATGGCTAAAAATCATTTTGGAAGATTCGAAAATCAAGTGGAAAGGTCCAATGAAAACTGCATTGTGATAATAAGTCAGCCATCAATATTGCCCACAATCTAGTGTAGCATGACCATACAAAACACATTGAAGTTGACGTACATTTTATAAAGGAGAAACTTGAAAGTGGCCTTATTTGTACTCCTTATGTGTCCACTGATAGTCAACTGGTAGATATACTTACCAAAGGATTGCCTAGGAAGTTCTTCCAGAAGTTGGTAAGCAAGCTAAGAGTGGATGATATCCATTACCCAGATTAAGGGTGAGTGTCAGATTCCAATTTCCTAAATAAGGAATACTGGTTGTACTAACTAAGATATTCTGTAAATATGTCAGTGGTTGTAATCCCTAACTTTGAGGGATTTATTTTTGGTTAAATATTCCTAGAATCAGTCTCTTTCCTAGTTTAGAATTTTCTAACTTAGGCTTATGAGGTCTATATGAACCATGTAAAATTCCTATAAATGAATTAATCAAATCAGATCACTTTTGACAAAATATAAGGCGCGTGGCATAGTTGAAAGGTACAAAACAAGGTTGGTGGCCAAAGGATACACACAAACCTATGACATTAATTATCTTGAGACGTTTGCTCTGGTAACAACAATGACTACAGTAAAAATTCTTGTCTTTAGCATCTCTTTTTGAGTGAGACCTACAACAGTTCAATATTAAGAATGTATTCCTCCATGGTGGTCCTGAAGAGGAAACTCACGTGGAAGTTCCTCATGGTCAAATAGAAGGGTATGGTTGTAGATTGAAGAAAGCTCTTTATGGGCTCAGACAGTCTCCACGAGCCTGGTTTGGGAAGTTAGCCAAGTCAATGATCTCATTGAGACATAAGCAAAGTCAATGTAATCATACCTTTTTCTTGAACTCTGTAAAGGTTACAACACTTTTAGTGTATATAGATGGCATTATTTAAGGACTGAAGAACTTGAAAGAATGTCTTTTGAAGGATTTTGACATGAAAGAGTTAGGAAAGTTGAAATTCTTCCTAGACATTGAGGTGGCACGTTTGAAGCAGGGAATCTTCATTTCTCAATAGAAATATGACACTGTCAACAGATCATATATGGCCTCCTCTACTACTCCCCCAACCAAAAAAAAGTAAAAACAAAAAAAGAATAAAAAATGACTCACGTTTCTTGTTTTATTACTATTTTTAAAGTTTTTCGTACCTTAACTTTGCTGGCTTTCTTCTCCCTCTGACCTTCATTGGTTCAATTCCAGGGAAAGTTGCTTCTGCTTTAAAGAATGATGGATCAGTGTAACGCTTTAAACATGTGCCAGCACCCGCAACATCAAATCTGGAAGAAAATATTAAAATATTCATCACTTGAATGAAATTTCCTTTCAAAAAAAATTACCATACTTGAGACCTAAGAGGAAATCTTACTTGTCCAAAAGGAATAACCGTGGAGGGCCCCGACATTCCTCATAAGAATCCAACACGCAGCGAGGTAAGTCCCCGCTACTTATCAGATTATGTTCAGTCTGCAAATTAGGGTGCCAGTTAACACCTACAAAAGATAATACATTTATCAAACGTTTTGGCAGATAGAGCCTTATGCATGAAAACTTCAATATTCTACTTCATAACTAATAAATAAATCATTAATCAAATGCAATGATCACCGTTCCTATTCATTCCATTCTTGCATATCAAACATGTGTTTATGGGAGCACAAAATACATCCATGCATACTACTATCTCATGATAAACTGCAGTTGGAGAATGTTATGAAAAAGTACATCTTTGGGTTTTCCATTAGATAAACAAACCTTCCTTTTCCTGTATAGATAGATATACTGCCAATAACGCAACCGTAGACAAAAGATATAAAAACATAAGAAACCAACACATGCCAAAGTACCCCATTGAAATGACAATAGAAACCATGGCAAATAGTAAAATAGTGAATAAAAACACCTTTTAAAGACATTTACATAAATATAATAGCATGAACATGTGTAAAAATGTGTTGTTGAATGTAACCTTCACTGGTAAAGAATAATGAATGATCGGTTTGTGATAAAAATGGCTTTTCAAAAGAAGGCAACTCCGCCTCAAGCTGTCGAACTCGAACCATTAGACATGTCCCCTTGCAGCAGTTGACATTACCTCTTCATGCAAGTCATGGAATATCTCAGCAGCAAACCTTTATCAATCATGACGAAAAGAAATTTAAAACCAGACAGGAGGAAAGCTAAAAAAGCTTCAAATTTGCTACCAAAGTTCTGCAACTCAAATATAAATTCATGTTAAATGTGGTACTCACTAACTCATACAGTCAATCCAGGTCTATAGATAAATCCTCAAGATGCAATTCTGCAACTCATATCATGTAAGTGTTTCTTTTAATAAATAAAAGTTGGTATACATTAATTAAAATAGAATTCTGAATTACAGCTGCTAAATCAGTGATCGCCAGAGCACAAGTACCACAAACCAGAAAACATTGAACATACCAAGAAACTAACCCTTTTGAAAGAAAAAAATAATGACATAATCAGGTAAGCAAATTCCAAGCACATCTAGGATTCAAATAGCTGAAATTAAATTCCAGTTCAGTATTATTGAGAAAACCTTTTAACAGATTCTGGTTATTTCTACGTGGAGCTCAAAGCAAATTAATTTGGAATTAAAAAATTAAAAGAACTGACCAACCAAAAAATAACCAACCAGAAATTAAAAGCTAAATAAAATATAGTGTTATAAATAAAAAATCTCAGCTTGCAACTCAAACAAAAAATGAAGAACGGGAATTCAGTTCTTTGACCTGTAAAGAACCTGGAAGGCAGACTGGAGAAAGCCATTTATAGGATAAGGTCCAAAAAGTTCGTTTGTTTTTTTTTTGGTTCTTTACATTGGGTTGATTAATATATACATTATACATATTTATAAAAAAAATCATCTTTTCCTTCAATAGTAATTTATTTGTTTACTTTATTGAATAAAATTTGCTTATTCACCGACCAGTCTTCATCTCTATCAGAAAGAATTACTGTTTGCAGAAACAGAATTCATGCAAAAAGGGGTAAATTTCCATCCCTATTTATATATATATATGTGTGTGCACTATTTGACTCATAAACCTTGTATATAGCTGGTTTAGAGCAAATAATAATTTGTTGATCCATCAAACACTAGCTATAAGGGGGAAAAAGAATTGCGATGGAATAAAACAGAATCACATTAGAGAACTTTAATCATACAATCAAAAAGTTGTAGATACAAATCAAGAAAGGCAAGTTCGATAAAGCTAATTTGTTTTTCTTGGTGAGGTATAGGGTGGCGTCATGGTTTTTAGCTAAAAACAAGGATGTGTCTATCCAAGTGGACAGCCTTGTGGGAGATATTTCTTTGGCAGATTTGATTAAGTCCCCCTCCAATTTTCAACTGTCAAGATTAAATTGGTGTCCTCCTCCTACAGGTTATTTTAAGATGAATGTTGATGGGGATGTTAACTTTGATTGGAGAAGAAGTGGTGTTGGTGGGGTTCTTAAAGATGCTGACAAGAACAAGCTGGTTTCTTTCTCTAGAGCATTAGGACCTTGTTCTCCTATTCTTGCTGAGATTTTTGCTATTAAAGTGGGGTTAGCAGTGTTTTTTGATTCAGTTTGGAGGGATAAAGGTATTCTGATTTTGGAAAGTGTCTCATTCTTGCTGTGAAGTGGATCAACAGCCCGGAAATTTGTCCTTTGATCTCAGAAATTCAGAAGACAGTTGTGCAGTCTAATATTATTATTAAGCATATCAGTAGATGTATTAATGTGGAAGCTGATTGTCTAGCTAAGCCAGGAATTGTTAGAGAGTGTGGAGTTTGTTGTTTTTTGAGTAGTGGTTATGGTGTTTTATTTTGGTTATGTTTCTATGTTAGGTAATTTTATGTAATGGTTGGTAATCTTGTGTAAATTTGGGTTATTAATATATTAAGATACTCTTCTCCTCCTTCAGCTATTTGTCTCTATACAAGAGGCAAATAATGAGGGAGGTTTTTAATGAGGCCTTCTATTCCTATTAAAAAAAAAGGAAATTTGAACATCCTTGCCAAGATCAAGACCAGATCCGCAAGAACACTCAAATATATGAGTTGCATGTTATGCATATGATTAAAATCAAAATCCTCTTATTATTAACAATTGTAATGCCTGTGTATTTTCTAGGAAATTGAACTGCAAAATGATAGCATGTACCTTCGGGCAAAGGAAATCAGCTCCTAAACCGCAAATTTCAAAGCAAAAACTGAAGCTAAAACCAAAAAGAATCCCCCACCGCCCAACAAAATTAAAAAAAGGAAAAAAGAAGAGAGAAACTTACTCGGCAAGGTCACCGAGCTGGCGCAAAACACCAACAAGGCCAGCCATGGCGACGCCTTCAAGTAAAGCCTCCGGATCATCCTTTTCAGAAGCTTTATAGAGCTCGGGATCGGCCAAGCTATACTCATTCCTTATCTGGTATCTCGGCAACGGCATTTCTTCTCCTCTGTTACGCCGAAAAGAAGAAAGAATGCTTCAATCTCTATGCCTATAGAAAAAATAATCAAAATTTCTATTGATATTTGAGCATTCACTTTCAGTGATTTTATGTTCGCTGCACCTTGTTGGCTCTCTGAATTTTGGAAGAGATTTAGGGTTCGTGCTTTCACGATATTTGGGACATTTTTCGACTGAGACACGTGGCTAATTTTTTTATACCAAATATTCAAGTACTCAAAATACAGTTACCCGGTTATAAATCAGTAAGGGGTGTTTGGTTTAAGGATTGTGAGATTCTTATGTGATTAGAATCTCACATTCTCATAATTGATTGGTTGAGAATCTCATTCCCAGTAATATTTTATTACCAATAATAGATTTTTTGGGGTATATTACCAGGAATGTCACTTCTCTTAAGTATTGTAACATTACCGGCATTTTAGACTAAAATGCCCTTAAATTTTTATTTTTTTTCAAAAATATCATTCTTCTGTCATTGAATAATAAAAATTCTACGAAGGTTAAATTACAAATTTATCCATAAATTATTTTAAATTTACAAAAAAAAAATCTATAATTAAAATTTTATATGAAATTCAGGGGTTAAATTTTTTTTATCCTTTCATTAAACCTTTTTTATATTTTTAATTTTATAAAAAAAGTATATAAATATTATGAATTTAATTTTTTAAAGAAAATATATAAATATTTTACAATTTGTAATATTATACAAATATATAATAAGAACAATTTGGTCAAATATATTCCAATAATCTTTTATTCCTTTAACCAAACACGGTAATCTTACATTCCTGCTAAACCAACCAAACACAAAATACAACATTCACAGTAATCTTATTCCCTGGTAATCTTTTATTCTCACTTGTAATCTTACATTCCTCAAACCAAATTATTGTATTTTGTATATTTGTATATTTGACCAAATTGTTCTTATTATATATTTGTATAATATTACAAATTGTAAAATATTACAAATATATAATAAGAACAATTTGTCAAATATACATTCTATTATTAAGATTAAATTACATTAGGTAAATGTAGTAATGTATAATACACTACCCCTGAACAAAATTTAAGTAACCTATATCGGTGATAACTAATTATAGTCTCTTTGTATTTTGGTTATTATTTTTTAATTTTGTGAATTAGTCCATTTAATTATTTAAATATATTAGACACTACAATTAACTGGTAATAAAAGATGTGATAATTGATAAAATTAGTATAATTATATATTTGATCCTCAATATTTATACATTTTATTAATTTAATCATAAATTATATTAAATTTAATTAGACTGATATTGGAAGATTTTTTTTAATTTTAATTTAATATTTTACCCTCCAATTAGGTCACCACCTAAATAGAGGGAAAATAAGTTAGTGAAAGAAATGATGCTGGTGATATTCGAACTTATGACTAATGTGTTGGACTCCACGTGCTTGAACCACTCGACTTGTAATAAAAATTGTTGATATTTTACGACAAATATATATTCTATAGATACTGTTTGCTGATGATATAAAAAAGAAGTTACACAACTAGTTCGGAGACTCGAACAAAGAGATTAAGAAAATGTGTAAGTGTCCCACCCCAAAATTCTAAGGTAAAATTTATTTTAATTTAATTAAGGGACCAAAATAGGCAGTTTTAAAAGATTCTGGATCAATTTCGTAAGTTTGGGAAGTTTGAGAACTTAACCCTGAATTTTTCCATTTTTTTATTAGTGGAAAATAAAAAATGGGAAAAATTGTGGCTAGAAGGCTTGAACCTGTGACCTAAGGGATAACCACCCATGCCTTAACCATCTAACCTAAGTCAATATTGATTATTTGAAGTAATGATTTTTTATTTTTTATTTAATATTTAATATATTGGGTGTTAACCCATTTTATTAAAACACCCCACGGTGCAGTGAGCAAACCCCCAAAACCCATTCTCTCACTAAACCCCATACACGACGCCTCCGATTAGCCAACTCCAGTCGACGGTGGAGTGCACCGCCACGTCCATCGTGTTCGGCAACAACCGACGACCTCAACCCAACCATTAGACCCCCGAAGTCGGCCGCCGTCCATCGATAAGGAGGAGGAAACCGTTCGATCCCTCAATCATCGTTCATCTCCACTGCTCGTCGATGAGAGTCACCGTTGCACCTGTCCAGCGCGACTGGTAATCCCGGTCACTTGCCGAGTGGTTGTGTTGTTTACCGATGACGAACGGTTGAAATCTCATCGGGAAAAACATATTTTTCACTCCTCGATTTTTCACCTTTTTCGGCCACTCCAGACGCTGGTGAGCCTCACGCCAGTCATAGTTGTACTTCCCAGGAGATTATGATCGAAACCCAACTGAAGTCGTCATCCACCGTCGTCGTTAATCGATTATTTTGTTGTGTTTTGGTTGGATTTTTATTGAATTTGATGGATTTTGGTAAGTGGACACGCGTGGATCAATCAACTGATCACCCCGACCCCGTTACCACTACCACACGTCGCCACGCACCATCGCGTGTGTGTGGGCCTTTTCCCCTAGCCTTGGCTCCTTCTAGAACAGTCCAAGTGGACCAAACAAATCCAACTCAGTCTGAACTGGTTTGTTTGACTCGATCAAGTCAACCCTCTTGAGTCAACCCGAACCAGTCGGACCCGTTGACCTTAACCCGAACCGTTGACTTTGACTTTGACCAATTTGACCATTGACTAAAAAGTTAAATTTTCGAAAAGTCATATTTTATATTTTTCGACTTCCTGAGTCTGAATCTGAAGTTGTTTTGCCAAATTCAATCATGGTAAGCTATTTTTCGGCATTTTATCTCCCGATTCAATACGAAATTTCAAGTTCAAATTTCGTTTCTAATGTAATTAGTTTTGCCATGTATCCGAGACATTATGGGACATGGAATTAAAGTTCGAGGGCGATCAAATGGAGTTTAATTGGTTAACTGTTATGGTTCAAAAATTGAGGTAATACAATACTACCTTATGTATGCTTTATGTAACATGTTGGCATTGGTTACTGCATAGATGAATATGTTTGGATACATGTGTGCAATTAATATATTTCTAAACTCGATCCAAATGCGATGAAAAGTAATTAAATTGAATAAGATTTAGATTACATGTATAAGACACTAGAAGACTGATAAGAAATAATTTCATGTTCAGTGATTAATCGATAAAGCAATCAACCTTAGAATCTTTAAATTCTAATTATTTTTCGTTAAACGTTTTAATACCGGAATCATCTGGTTAAAAAATTATAAAATTACCCTTATGAGTAAAAACTGGTCCGGACTGACCCTGATAGTGAAAGTACCATGAGAATTCATATTTAATCCGAAAAATCATTGATTCACCTGTTAAATTTCTGATATGTTTGGAAAGTCGCTGATAATCAGATCCTAACATCTGAAAAGGTACAAGACCTAGAATTATTGATTTATCAACAAATAGCTGAAGATTAAAACAACAAGAGTATTATTTATGTTTGAATTGTTCAGAAAATTGAATTAAATGAAAAACTGAATTAAAGAAAATGACCAAAATACCCCTAAAGTGTAAAATGACCCAAAGTACCTCTAATTCCTAAAATGACTAAATACCCTCAAGCTCCGAAATGAATAAATCAATATCGAATACCAAAATAACCTAGAATTTCTATTTCCTGAGTGAACACTATGAGGCTAAATTACCAAAAGTACTTTACACGTCTGAACTACTCAAAATGACTATATTATATAACAAAGTTGAACTGAATGGAAGTAATGTACGTATCCAAATCGTTGAAACGATCCAATTACTTTGGAAACTCCAAAATAATCGGGATAAACTTGAATACTAAATGACCTAAGTACCATCTATGTCCTAGAATTTAGTGGATGACTTGGATAAGTCTGGAAATGCTGATGAACTTATATGTTGTATAGTCCATAAGGGTTGGGAACCCCAAATCAAGCACATCGACATTTCTTGATACCGTTGTAATGCAGAATTGAAATAAATACCATAAGGTCTATTCAACAATGATTATGAAGGTGATCAGTTCAACTAGAACAATCATTACTAAGAAATGAATAATGGTGAAGTACCTCGGTCTGAATGATTGACAAATATCACAGTGTTGGGATTGGATAGTTAATTTGACTCAAAATTATGATAATTCGATATAAATCCTAAATTCTATAAATTATTGTTTTACTCTCATTGGGTTAAATTATTAAGAATTCTTCAAGAAACCAAAATGTATAAAATGCCTCTGCTTGCCTGAATAATGGAATCACTCCTGTCATATCTAAAATCTCAAGTAACTCTTATGTAAAAGATTTTGAATACCGTCCTAATTACTTAGTTCCTCCGAAAAATATTTGAATACTATATGATCTTGATAAATCACTTTTCGAATGACTGATGAATATGCTAGCTATCAAACCCTTTCTATAGGGATCTTATTTCTAGAATCCTATAAATTTACAAAAGTTTCATGGTTCCCTACCTGATAAATACCAAGTACCTCTGAAAAATCAATGAATCCTCTAGTGTGTTCCATATGTGCTATATGATTGTTTTATCTGTTCTGAAATGTGATTTACCGAAGTTATTGATTTACTATTTATGAACTATGGCTACATGATATGTGCTCTCTGGTTACCTACTTTCACTGGAAAAATATAATCATTCCTGATTTATGGATCATGGAATCTACTGTTTACTGTATGAACCAATTATTGGGATACTGTTTGGGTAGCATTCTTGAGTATGAAGGTTCAGCTCTTATCAAGCTGATAATTCCTTACGGACCTAATGTATTACTTGGGTAGGCTCTAAGGCCCAAAGACACTTCCTTAGTATGGGGACTGTATTTTAGTGTACGGATGGAGGACATTTATATGATTTAAATAACTACATTGTCATTTTTACAACATTCTACTGGATCATGATTTTGATATTAAAGTTACTACTCAATCTAATTTTTACTGGATATTGTATGAGTAGGAGTCTGGAGTACGGAGTTCAGCTCTGATCAAGCTGGTAAATCCTTACTGACCTAAGAATACCCTTGGGTAGGCCCATAGGCCCCAAGGTACTCCCTTAGGGTGGTACCTTTGTTGTGTACTTAGAGTAAGTCCTTATGGATGCAGTTCTCGGGAAGTTGAATATCAGTGT